GGATTGTGTCTCCCTAGCAGAGTATCAGAAGGCGAGAGGGCCAGGCAGTCAAGGGAAGTTGACTCAGTCACGCTGCCATGTATTCACTCGGACTGAGAGCGTTTTCCGCTTCTAATAAAATATTTTCTTTCCTCTCCTGGGAATGGTCCCCCCGCCCCCATCATGCTGGCGATTAACCAGCTCACAGAGCTCTTGAGAACGGAGCCCCTTGTGCAATTGCGTGGCTGTCACTGACATCGGGTCCTTTTAAAATGTGCTCAGATATACATGGTTGTCCTGAACTTTGTCTTTACTGCAAAGAATACTAGGCAAGCAGGATATTTACCTTCCTTTCAACCCGTAACCTGAGCCAGTCTGGTCTGTAACTCAGTTTGCTTTCTCTTGGTCTCCGAGCCATGAAGCTCGGGGCCAGCTGTTGTGCAAGGCTGCTCCTGAAGTGACTCCTCCTGGCCCTCCTGTGCTCCCTCCTGCTCATCCTCCCCTGCTGTGGGGGCGGGCACAGCTGCTCATTTCTAATGCACAGACTTGGCAGGAGAGATGAGCTCTTACTTCTGAGATTAAAGTCTGAAAACTCAGATGTCGCCCGACCAGCGTGGCTCAGTGGTTGAGCGCCGACCTATGAACCAGCGGTCATGGTTTGATTCTCCAGGAAGGGCACATGCCAGGGTTGCCCTCGATCCCCACTGGGGGGTGTGAGGAGGCAGCCAATCAATGATTCCCTCTCATCGTAGATGTTTGTCTCTCCCTCTCCTTTCTTTTCTGAAATCAGTAAAAATATTTTTTTAAAAAACAAGTCAGATGTCTGTCTTCCTGGCTCTCTCTTGTCTCACTCACCTTAGTGATGACGCAAGCTGCCGTGCTGGGAAAGTCCATGTGACAAGAAATAAGGGCCGCCTTCAGCCACAGTCCATAAGGAACCACAGGAGGGGGACCTGGGCATGACCTTGATTTCAGCCTTGAGAGCGACCTTGAGGGAGAGCAGCTGCTCTGCCAGGTCCTGGACCTACAGAAGCTGAGACAGTAAGTGTTGCTGTTTTAAACCACTAGGTTCTGGGTAATTTGTTATGCAGCGATGGATAACTGCTAGAACAAATACGGAGCTGGGTAATTATATTACATAATATCACTAATACATTATTAATAATATTGTCAACATACTAAGATTATATTACGATGCTATAAAAGCATGCAGTTTAATTCTGATAGTAGAAAGCTGACATTGCTTCCATCTAATCTTCACCACAGCCTCTGAGGAAGCGAATGTAACTGCAGAAACGCACGTCTTCAACGTGGGCCTCTCTTTCTGTCCATGGACCCTGTCCCTCCCCCAGGGCATCAGGTTCTGCTCACCATCCAACAGTCTTAGGAACAAAGCCTCAGGTCTGTTGACCACAGAAACAGGGTCTGGGTCAAACTAGAGAAAACAATTTGACTTCAGGTGTGTTCCAGCCCCTGGCCCATGAGAGGAAAGGGCACCAGTGGCCACACCTCCCCAAACTGAACAGACGACCCCATGGCTGAGATCAGGACTCGATAGAATGGCCAACCATCCCTGCCCTGGCCCCAGCTGGCCAGCAGAGCCCACAGCCCCAACTCCTGAGTCCCTGGCCGCCCATGCCCTGGACGCCTCGGGGAGCCAGGTCTCCGAGCAGGAGCTCACCTGCGACCCTGGTCCTGGGCCATTTCCTTCAAAGTAAACCTCGACTTGCTTGGCTGCAAACTCCTGTCTGCATCTGATTGGGCTTCGTGCACCCAGGCAAGTGGAGCCCTTTAGCTCCGTAACATGAACACAGTTATTTGCATTTACAGAGGAAATAGAAGCTAGATTGGAGCCCTAAGCCTGTTCTTTGAACTGTGCAGTGAGATTAGAAAGAAAACTGCCTCCATCTGCCAGAATCACTGAGTTCCAAGATCTTTTCTTGATGTCTTTCCTTTCCCTGGCAAGGTTCTGCTTCCCTCCCTCAGGCCAGGGGCTGACTCCCCCCCCCCCCAGACAGTAGGGGGCAGTTTGGAGTGAGAAGGCCAGCAGGGGGGAACTTGGCGCCCCGCGTCAGGGTCTGACTCCCTCCCCGGGGCAGGGGCTGACTCCCTCCCCAGGCCAGCAGCTGACTGACTTTGGCCTTGGTCTGTAGATGCAGTGACCTCACTCTGAGCCTCCTGTGGGGTGGATCACCAGGCACGTGGTTGGTGATAATGGTCACCTTGTAGATCTCAGACATGAGGGAGGGGCGGGTCTTGGAGAAGCCGGGAGGACGTGGAGGGGGAGCTTGTGTGCACTCTGGTGACACCCACATCCCCATTTACTGGCATCTCCGAGGCCCGTGCCTCTCCTGCCCGCGTGGGTCTGGCTCAGGGAGTCCTTCCCTTTCTGCTCATTTCAGTTCCTGTTGAGACCCAGCACTGTGCCGCTGATCATTTCTAATGCACAGAATTGCAGGGGCAGGTGCCAGCGCCACCTGAGCTGCTGGGGAGAGTGCCTGCGCCCACGGCGGGCATCACCATTTTCTTTTATATGTGGTTGGCAACTTGGTAGTCTCCACCAGCAGCTAAATCCCACATTCACAGTGGCAGAACCCTTTGGCCCAGGGTTCCATCTTTAGGAGCCTCCACTCTAGGAATATTAGCACAGCTGATGGAGAATATAGGACACAGGGAACATCTGTACCTGCCACTCATCAGGGGAGGCTGGGGAAAGTCAGGGGCCGCCGCCCACGGTGAGCGTTCCGCACATGAAGGGGCAGGTAGTCTGTCTGTGGAAAGATGTCCTTGGGAAAAGTCAAAGTGCAAACTGTAATGCCGTTTGCAACGATAAACAGAAGCCCAGTGTGCATCCCTGGACTCCGTTCACATGTGCAGGGAACGGCGTCCGGGAAACAGCTGGCGAGGAGCGGGAGGCGCTCGGGGCCCCAGTGCTTCCCTCTGTAGGTTTCTGCCTGTTTGTTTGTAACTTGTACGCACACTTGGTTAATTTTTAAGAGCAGTTCTAAGAAAGAAGAGTTTTTTCTACAGTGTTGTGTTTTCTGAGAAGACACCCCCAGGAAGCACAGAGAGGTGTAGACTGGACAGGGACCTCGGGCCTCGGCTTAGCTCCTGCTCGCGACTGTCTGGCTGTCCGGCTGTCCGACTGTCCGGACGGACTCGGGTTCTTGTCTCCTGATGTAAAAGACGTCAGAGCAGGGGCACTGGCACAGCAAAGGCGGTTACTAGGCTCTGCAGGGGAGAGCGCTGGGCTAGGGCCTCCGGCTCCCTGCCCCCAATGAGGGGCTTAGGGCTTTTACAGCTGAGGGCCTGGAAGTTGCTGGGGTTAAGCGATAGGCAGTAGGTCAGCAGTCTCCTTGTTTGGGACCCAGATGTCCAGGTATTAGGAGAGAAGTATCCTGGGTTGGGCAGCACTTATTATGGGATGCAGAAAGGGACTTTCCCACCAGCGATTGAGCTTGTCCCCGGGGCTTGTGGCTTGGCTTTAGATTTGGAAAAAAAACATAAAGGTCAGAGTAGCTCCTGCACCGTTGCTTTGTAGCTACCTATGGATGACTGCCATGTCCTGGTAGGCTTGACTTGAGGGAGTAATTTTAGGGAATATTTTATTCTACCTGTTTCAACTGGGGCTCAGCAGGCCCATCTGTCTGGCTGTGCTCACGCAGCTGAAAGGGGGGTTACAGATACATGGTCACTAACATCCCCTCCAGTTTAGCAATTTAGGAACACAGATTTTCTTTTTTTTAGGTTTTATGATATGCGCAAACACAATTTCAAAGTTAGAATAACATTTGGAAGATAGACATCAAACAAGACGCATGAGAATTAAGTATATCTTAATTATGGCATGGTAACCAATATTTTAAACCAAAAAGTCTCTCTCCTCTAAGTAAAGATTGTTCCCAGTGAAGTGATGACTGCGTTGACTTTTGTGTAAAATCAAAGCCCACAGTATGTTTATTTGCCTTATATTTTGAGATGCCCCTGTAAGGGGTGAAACTTCTGGAAAAGAAGGAGGGGTGGCTAATGGGCAGGGTCCTGTGGGTCAGGGAGGTGCCTGCGGCTTTGCGCTCACCTAGCTAGGCTCCCGGGCCTGACAGGAGACCCCAGCATGTGCTGAGGGTGAAGCCTGGGTGTTTTAATCAGGGCTAAGATGCCTGTTGGAGGTGAGGCAAGCTGAGTCAGTACGTCAGCCCAGGGCCGTGTGAGCCTAAGACGGGGCAGAGGGCCTGTCAGTCTCTCAGCTCCCACTCCGGGCGCCCTGTGACTAGTCACTCCACAGGCACCTGCCTGCCGGGCGGCCAAGTCCTTGGATCGAGAACTCCCAGCTCAGTGTTAATCCACCTGCAGAATAGCAAGCAGGGTGGGGAGGCAGAGGAGGGAAGCAGCCCTTTCCTG